CAGCGAACAAATAAATTCTTTACACCAAAAACACACCGAACTAGAAAAAAAAGTTGCCGAAAACAAAACTAATATCGAAAAAAATAAGCGCGGAATACAAAGGGAAGAAAACCAAAGAATTATCGCGGTTAACCAGGTAAAAATTGCCACTATTGAGGTAGACGAAAAAGTAACCCAGTTAGCCCGCGAAAGTAAACACCGCGAAAAAGAACTAGAACGCAAACTAGCCGCAGAGCAAGCCGAACGCGAGCGAATAGAAAAAGAAAACCAAAAGCGAAACCAAGAACTAGCCGAACAGTTAGAAGCCTTACGGTAAGAAATTTTAGCTGAAAAGTTTAAGAAAGAAGCCTCTGAAAAGCGAGCCCAGAAACTACTAAAATTTGCCGAACTAAAAGAAGAAAAGCAAAAACTAGAAAAAGAGTTAGAAAACTACGCCACTGTCCTCACTTTCGAACAGATAAAACAAGAACTCCGTCGCCAAAACTGACTATCCCGTAACCGCGGAGAAAGCGAAGCCAGTCCGGAAATAGTAAATCAGTATACTCTTACTGAAAATTCTTGGCGGAAACTTTCTACCCAAGAGAAAGAAGCCTACGGCTGGGTCACTAGTAATCAGGGCGGTTCTTGGCAAATCCAAACTGAAATAGACCGCGAAAAAGTTAGCCAGTCCCTAGCCAAAAAATTTGCTTTTACTAACCAAAATTTCGGAGTAGAGGCTTACCTAAAAGAGGAATTAGCAAAGAAACTAGCAGCAAATGGTGAACTTTTACTGGCTTTTACTGCCGAATTAGATTTAGAAGCCGAATTAGAAGTGGAAGAGATACCCCGACCAACCGAACAGCCTCGCCCAAAAGAACCCGAAAAAAAGCAACCGCGAAAGAAAAAAGAAACACCCCAGCCTACTGCTACTAACTGGCTAACTCGGCAAATAGCCAAAGTTAGGCAATTGCCAGGTGCTACCGCAGCACTATCTATTCCCTGGTGAGTTTATTTACTACTCCCTTTTTTACTCTGGCTACTAAAAAAACTGCTCTGAAAACTCTTCTGAAACTGGCTAATTAGCCTATTTAGAAAAAAGAAAAAACCTACCGAAACCGAAGAACCAGAGCCAGAGCCAAAACCCGAAAAGAAAACCAGCAAAACCCCTAGAAGCAAAAAAAACCAAACCCACCCTAAATACCATGCCAAAAAATAAACTCACTACCTGCTTCTGTCCGCTTACTAAAAAGGGACAGAAAAAGAAAAACACCCCACTCTGCGCTTACTGCCAAGAATTAGAGCAAACTAAAAGCCAGCCAGTAACTAATTTAGTAAAAGCAAAGCCAGTTAAAAAATCCTTACTAAAAACTTGGCCTTTCTGAAAATACTTGCTACTAACTGCTAGTTTTTTCTCTGGCAGCACAGGTGCTTATTTCTGAACTAAAAAGAATTTTTTTACTTCACCAGAAATTCCCAGTCCGGAAATTCCAACTGAAGAAGAAAGAGAAATTTCGGACCGAGAAAGTTTATCCGAAGAAACTATTGGGCCCGAGAGTTTAGC